GTTATCGTCCATGATGACAACGGTGATGATGACGATGACGATGATGATGATGCTGCTGATGACGACGATGATGATGATGACGATGATGACCACCATCATGGTGATGATGACATACTCATCGTCATCACATCATCATCGTTGTGACCTGACTGGAGATGTAGAGGATGCGTAGACATGATTATCATCATGACTGTTGGTGATGCAGAGGATGCACGATGATCGATGATGATAACGGTGATGATGACGATGACGATGATGATGATGACACGCTTGTCATTGTATCACATCATAATCGTTGTCATCCTTATCTTTTTTATGTACGTTTCAAGGGTAGCGTTAGACCTGATTGGAGATGCAGAGGGTGCGTAGTCATGATTGTCATCATGACTGTTGGTGATGCAGAGGATGCACAATGATGGTTATCGTCCATGATGACAACGGTGATGATGACGATGATGACGATGATCACGATGATGACGATGATGATGATGATGACGAAAATGACCACCATCATGGTGATGATGACATGCTCATCATCATCACATCATCGTCGTTGTGACCTGATTGGAGATGCAGAGGATGCGTAGACACGATGTTGTCGCCTTATCTTTTTGATACGTTTCACAGGTAGCGTTAGAGCCGATTGGAGATGCAAAGGGTGCGTAGTCATGATTCACATCATGACTGTTGGTGATGCAGAGGATGCACGATGATGGTTATCGTCCATCATAACAACGGTGATGATGACGACGATGACGAGGATGATGCTGATGATGATGACGATAATGACCACCATCATGGTGATGATGACACGCTCATCATCATCACATCATCATCGTTGTGACCTGATTGGAGATGCAGAGGATGCGTAGACATGATTATCATCATGACTGTTGGTGATGCAGAGGATGCACGATGATGATTATCATCGATGATGATAACGGTGATGATGACGAGGACGATGATGAGGATGATGCTGATGATGATGACGATGATGATGATGATGACGATAATGACCACCATCATGGGGATGATGACTTGCTCATCATCATCATCACATCATCATCGTTGTGACCTGATTGGAGATGCAGAGGACGCGTAGACATGATGTTGTCGTCCTTATCTTTTTTATATACGTTTCAAGGGTGACGTTAGAGCCGATTGGAGATGCAGAGGGTGCGTAGACATGATTATGATCATGACTGTTGGTGATGCAGAAGATGCACGATGGTTATTGTCCATGATGACAACGGTGATGATGACGATGACGATGATACGATGATGATGATGATGCTGCTGATGATGACGATGATGATGATGACGATGATGACCACAATCATGGTGATGATGACATACTCATCGTCATCAGATCATCATCGTTGTGACCTGATTGGAGATGTATAGGATGCGTAGACATGATTATCATCATGGCTGCTGGTGATGCAGAGGATGCACGATGATGGTTATCAGATTGGAGATGCAGAGGGTGCCTAGACATGATTCTCATCATGACTGTTGGGAAGCAGAGGATGCACGATGATGGTTATCGTCCATGATGACAACGGTGAGGACGATGCTCATCATCATCACAGCATCATCGTTGTGACCTGATTGGAGATGCAGAGGATGCGTAGACATGATTATCATCCTGACTGCTGGTGATGCAGAGGATGCACGATGAAGGTTATCATCGATGACGATCATCATCATCACATCATCATCGTTGTGACCTGATTGGAGATGCAGAGGATGCGTAGACATGATGTTGTCGTCCTTATCTTTTTTATATACGTTTCAATTGTGACGTTAGAGCCGATTGGAGATGCAGAGGGTGCGTAGTCATGAGAATCATCATGACTGTTGGTGATGCAGAAGATGCACGATGATGGTTATCGTCCATGCTGACAACGGTGATGATGACGATGACGATGATGATGATGATGCTGATGATGATGACGATGATGATGATGCCGATGATGACCACCATCATGGTGCTGATGACATGCTCATCATCATCACATCATCATCGTTGTGACCTGATTGGAGATGCAGAGGATGCGTAGACATGATGTTGTCGTCCTTATCTCTTGTATAAACGTTTCAAGGGTGACGTTAGAGCCGATTGGAGATGCAGAGGGTGCGTAGTCATGATTATCATCATGACTGTTGGTGATGCAGAAGATGCACGATGATGGTTATCGTCCGTGCTGACAACGGTGATGATGATGACGATGATGATGATGCCGATGATGACCACCATCATGGTGATGATGACATGCTCATCGTCATCACATCATCATCGTTGTGACCTGCTTGGAGATGTAGAGGATGCGTAGACATGATTATCATCATGACTGCTGGCGATGCAGAGGATGCACGATGATGGTTATCATCCATGATGATGAGGATGATGACGATGATGACGATGATGATGACGATACTGACCACCATCATGGTGATGATGACATGCTCATCATCACCACATCATCATCGTTGTGACCTGATTCGAGATGCAGAGGATGCGTAGACATGATTATCATCACGACTGTTGGTGATGCAGAGGATGCACGATGATGGTTATCATCGATGATGATAACGGTGATGATGACGAGGACGATGACGAGGATGATGCTGATGATGATGACGATGATGATGATGCCGATGATGATCACCATCATGGTGATGATGACATGCTCCTATGCGTAGACATGATTATCATCATGACTGCTGGCGATGCAGAGGATGCACGATGATGGTTATCATCCATGATGATGATGATGATGGCGATGACGCACTCTTGGTGATGCAGAGGATGCACGATGATGGTTATCATCGATGATGATAACGGTGATGATGCTGATGATGATGACGATGATGATGATGATGACACGCTTGTCAGTATATCACATCATGACCGTTATCGTCCTTATCTTTCATGTACATTTCAAGGGTAGCGTTAGACCGGATTGGAGATGCAGAGGGTGCGTAGTCATGATTATCATCATGACTGCTGGTGATGCAGAGGATGCACGATGATGGTTATCATCCATGATGATGACGATGATGATGACGATGATGATGACGATGATGACGATGATGATGATGACGATGACGACAATGACCACCATCATGGTGATGATGACATGCTCATCATCATCACAGCATCATCGTTGTGACCTGATTGGAGATGCAGAGGATGCGTAGACATGATTATCATCATGACTGCTGGTGATGCAGAGGATGCACGATGATGGTTATCATCCATGATGATGACGACGATGATCACGATGACGATGACGATCATGACGATCATGATGATTACAATGATGATGATGATGTTGACGATAATGACCATCTCAGTTCATCATCATCATCATCATCACTGTGCTCATCATGATCATCATCATCAGTCCCGTTAGAGCCGATTTGAGATGCAGAAGATGCGTGGACATGATTATCATGATGCCTGCTGGTGATGCTGAGGATGCGTCATGATGATTATCATGTCAGCTCAGCATCATCATCATCATCATCATCATCATCAAAGCGGTGCATTTTCACGCGAAAGCAAAGCAAAAATGCACCGCACCCTGGCTACAACAGGGGACCCATCGCGGCCCCGACTTGCGGCGAGAAAACTGGTTGGCTTGCGGGGTGACCGGCGATGAGCCTCTACTGCAAACGCAACGTCACGGCACATGCTCCCAGCAGCAGCAGAATTGTAGGCACTTACAGCGGCGCATTTTCTTACCAGATTATTACAAAAATGCACCAAGCCAAGGAAAGAAAACGATCGCTCCAGAATGGGCGCAGGTTCTATGGAAGCGTGCCAATCAAAGCGCATTATCACGATGACTGCTGGTGATGCTAAGGATGCGTCATGATGATTATCATGTCAGTCATCATCATCATCATCATCATCATCCTCATCATCATCATAAAAGCGGTGCATTTTCACGCGAAAGAAAAGCAAAAATGCACCGCACCCTGGCTTCAAGAGGGGACCCATCGCGGCCTCATTTTGAAGCGGCCCCGTTCCATTCCCAAACTGGTTTGGGGTCGGCGGCACTGGGCGGCAGCCCTTAAATTAAAATAATTTACATCATTAAAATCATTAAACTCAGACAACTCATCTTCATGATTAAGTTCAGTAAACTCATGTTAATGAATTTCATGATTTTAATGTTCAGAAGGCGAGAAACATTATAATCAATAAAATCAGTGATTTCAGAAGTTTGCCTGAGACAGGACTATTTTAATATTAAAAACATTTGAAGCAGTCAGGTCACTAAATTCAATAAATTCATTTACTGAATTTAACGATTTTGATGTGCCAAAAGGCGGCACACATCAAAGTCGCTAAAATCCTGGGAGTGTGCCTGAGCCAGTACTGTTTCAATTTTAGAATCATTTAAATCGCTAAATTCAGTGAATCGTTTTGATGAAATTAATGATTTAAATGGTTTTAATTACAAGTCCTGGCTCAGCCACACTCCTAGAATTTAACGAGTTCAACGAACTTAATGTGCCAAACGGCCAAAAACATTAAAATCACTTAATTCACTAAACTCATTTTAATGGAGTTAATGATGTTAACGTGCCAAATGGCGAAGAACATTAAATTCATTCAAATGCATTTAATGATTCAAATGTTTATGGCCGTCTGAAACATTGAAACCGTTAAAATCATTAAATTAATCGAACTCATATTAACATTCATCACCGAAAATATTAAAATGTTCAAATCCACCTCCAAATGGACCTAGTTTTTCCCTCTTAGGGTGGGACCCTACATGTCCCCGAATCAAGCTCCTTCAATACAGCCTGCATCAAGTTTTCGGTTTTTGCAGCATTGTGCGCAAACATGTGGCAGAGCTTGCAGGTAAGGACCAAAACCGACTTGGTTGCCCAAAGCGGAAAGTGATTCTTGCAAAAGGATCGCAATATGGAAAACGCAACAGCAAGTGTGCACCCAGCTGCCCCGCTCACTTCTGCCACGGCACACATGCTCGAGCAGAGCATCTGCTCATCCATTTGCGCAGATCCATCATCCCCTCACACGGCAAGTTTGACCAGCCATGTTGACAAACACAAAGCAAGGCAAGCCTGATGGCGAGACAGCAACACAGGGATCCTGAGATCATCAGAGCACAGCAACCGAGGAGCAAACCTGCACTTGCACAACGCACACAAACACTCCAATGAGAATGCTTCCTTCCATCTGTTCTGTTTACACCCATTTCAGCTAGCATGCGCGAGTGGGATTACGTGTGATGACAGCATGTGTCTTGAAACGCCCTAGATTTTAAGAAAAAAGGCAACTTGCGGAGTTGCAGCCCAGGCTTTGGATCCGGATGATTCTGGACATTCTGAGTAGTCACCGCTCACCGACTAAACTCTGTCGATGCCAAGATGCCGCGAGGTGAGAGCCGCGCGTTGCTTCATACCTTGGGCAGTAGCATGGGCTTTGCCAACATGATGTGCTGAGTCCAGCACACTAACCAGGATGAGCCTCAATGCTTCGACACAACACATGTACCCAGAGCCGGCTGTTGATCTCGAGGCTTTTGAGACTAGAGCAAACATCAGCTGGAGACTCGCTGTCCGCAAGACAATCTGCAAAGGCCGAGCAAGCCTCATTGGGCGTCGCGTGACAGAAGCCGTCAGACAGGTCAGCAGCGAACGTCTGACGGCTGCAAGCCCAAACCATCGATGAGCCAGCAGCTCCTTCAGGAAACACCAGAAACAGCCAGCAAGCAGGAGGCACCCTGCCTTGGTGGCCAGAATCGAATGACGATGTGGGTCCCAGGCTTTTGGTAATACACGCCTAGCACGCAGGTCGTGTCTGAATGCAAAATGAAAAAGATGATGCCCTGCTTGCAAGACTCAGTTTCGTGCGACCCAGGTAGGTTCCGGCAAGGGCGTACTCACCGTTAATGAACCTAAATATTAGGAACCGCTTTAACAAAGGAGTTACATGCAAAAATCAGGAACTGGCTCATTCTCGCGCCAGCCAGCTCGCCCAGAAACCTGGCCATCAGACCATTGAAACAGGCAGGCTTCCGCGATCTGATCCATCGTAGCTGTTACTTGCCGACTATCTAGACTATCACTCCATGCACCTGCAAGGAAGGCGGAGCGGTTGTGCAACATACCTGAGAGGCAGCACAACAGAGCCGTGTCGCTCGCCGGCAGGAAGCTCACTCCTTGATCCAGAAGGAAGTTACCACGTCTGGACTCCCACACGAACCAGTCCAAATCCGATGAGCCAGGATGCTCCTTAGAATGTCTCTCCAAAAAGAACCTTTACTTTGACCCACAACTCAAGAGTCCAAGTTTTGGGCAGAGCCCGAAGCTTCAGAAAAGGCTGCACAGCGTTCGCCAGCAGCCTGGGGTGCCCATGTGAGCAGCGCCCAAACCCAATTGACTGTTGAATCGACTCACATTGGTTTTCAAGGTTTATACAGGCGTTACCATAACCCCAAGAGACCAGGTAGTAGAGCCGCCCACGAACCAGCATGACGCCGGTGAGAAGCCAGTTTCGATTTTGCTCCCGCCATCCCTATCCAGTTACTCATCCCAGTTTCTGATCTCGGAGTGTGGTGAGGGTAGACTCAAAGCCGATTTGTACTTAAAAAAATCCGACTTCCGTGCGACATGTGAATCTGAATGTGAATCTCAACTCCAGCTCCAGCGGAATTCCAAGCCAAAAGTTGTTGGAAGAGATTTTCAGATTCCAGACGGAAGCAAAGCTGTCCTCGTTCTTTCTGAGCACCTGAACAATTCTGGAATCACGCTGTCCTGGCGCTAACATCCTATATGTTGCAGCATGTTCAAGCAAAGTGCTGCAAAACGGCACTGTCAACATCCCGGGCATCGGTTTAACATCCCTGGCATCGGTTTCACATCCTCACCAGCTGGCTTTGGCTTGGGCTGTTTAGGCTGGGTTCAAGGTGGGCTTGGGGTTGGTTTAGGGTAGGCTGAAGGCTTGAACAAGGGCACGTTTGGGAGTGGGTTTGGGGTTGGTTCGTTTCTCTACATGGGTGTAGGCTTGGCTGGTTTGGCTGCGCTTTCGGTACTGGGGACGAATTAGCGCTTGTTTAGGGCGTATGGTGGCTTTCCAGTGGGCGGGGTAACCGGGTAGGGGCTAGGGTTCGAATGGGCTTTTTGAGGAGCACTTGGGCAAGTTTGGGTTTCTTGAGGCTTGGCTTAATCTAGTTTTCATGATGGCTTTACAGTTTCGGGCGGGCTTGGTGCCCAAAACGTGGTGTGTGGGGTGTGTGGGGTGTGTGGGGTGTGTGTGGGGTGTGTGGGGTGTGTGGGGTGTGTAGGGTGTGTGGGGTGTGTGGGGTGTGTGGGTGTGTGGGGTGTGTGGGGTGTTGGGGGTGTGTGGGGTGTGTGGGGGTGTGGGGTGTGTGGGTGTGTGGGTGAGGGGGTGTGTGGGTGAGTGGGGTTGTGGGTGAGTGGGGTGTGTGGGGGTGCGTGAGTGTGTGTGTGTGGGGTGTGTGGGGCGGGGTGTGCGCGGTTCCGGGTGCGCGGGGGCGCGGTGCGGTGCGCGGGTGCGCGGGGTGCGCGGTGCGCGTGTGCGTGTGCGTGTTGTGCGTGTGCGGCGTGTGCGTGTGCCGGTTGTGCTTGATTTACGTTTGTTTGCGCTTGTTTGCGTGGTGCGTGGTGCCGTGCGCCGCGTGTTGCGCATGTGCGTGTTGCGCGTGTTGCGCGTTGCGTGTTGTGCGTGCTGTTGTGCTGTGCGGTCGTGCTGTGCGTGTTGTGCGTGTGGTGGTGAGTTGTGTGTCTCTGTGTGGTCTCTGTGTGTCTCTCTGTGGTCTCTGTGTGTCTCTCTGTGTCTCTCTGTGTCTCTCTGTGTCTCTCTGTGTCTCTCTGTGTCTCTCTGTGTCTCTCTGTGTCTCTCTGTGTCTCTCTGTGTCTCTCTGTGTCTCTCGGTGTCTCTCTGTGTCTCTCTGTGTCTCTCTGTGTGTCTCTGTGTGTCTCTGTGTGTCTCTGTGTGTCTCTGTGTGTCTCTGTGTGTCTCTGTGTGTCTCTGTGTGTCTCTGTGTCTCTCTGTGTCTCTCTGTGTCTCTCTCTCTGTGTCTCTCTCTCTCTCTCTGTGTCTCTCTGCGTCTGTGTGTCTGTGTGTCTGTGTGTCTGTGTGTTTGTGTGTCTCTCTGTGTGTCTCTCTGTGTGTCTCTGTGTGTCTCTGTGTGTCTCTCTGTGTCTCTCTGTGTCTCTCTGTGTGTCTCTGTGAGTCTCTCTGTGTCTCTCTGTGTCTCTCTGTGTCTCTCTGTGTCTCTCTGTGTGTCTGTGTGTCTGTGTGTGTCTGTGTGTGTGTCTGTGTGTGTGTGTCTGTGTGTTTCTGTGTGTGTGTCTGTATGTGTGTCTGTGTGTGTGTCTGTGTGTGTCTGTGTCTGTGTGTCTGCGTGTCGGTGTGTCCGCGTGTCCGCGTTTCTGTGTGTCTGTGTGAGTCTGTCTGTGTGTCTGTGTGTCTGTGTGTCTGCGTGTCTGTGTGTCTGTGTGTCTGTGTGTCTGTGTGTCTGTGTGTCTGTCTGTCTGTCTGTCTGTCTGTCTGTCTTTGTCTGTCTGTTGTGCGTCTGTGTGTGTCTGTGTGTGTCTGTGTGTGTGTGTGTCTGTGTGCGTCTGTGTCTGTGTCTGTGTGTGCGTGTGTCTGTGTGTGAGTGTGTCTGTGTGTGTCTGTGTGTGTCTGTGTGTGTGTGTCTGTGTGTGTCTGTGTGAGTCTGTGTGTCTGCGTGTGGCTGTGTGTGTCTCTGTGCGTCTGTGTGTGTGTCTGTGTGTGTGTCTGTGAATGTCTGTGTGTCTGTGTGTGTGTCTGACGTCTGTGTGTGTCTGCGCGTGTCTGTGCGTGCGTGCGCGCCTGCCTGCCTGCGTGCGTGCGTGCGTGCGTGCGTGGGTGGGTGCGTGCGTGAGCGCGGGCGCGCGGGCGTGCGGGCGTGCGTGCGGCGTATGTGTGGTGTGTGCGTGGTGTGTGTGTGTGGGTGTGTGCGTGCGCGCGTGCGTGTGCGTGTGCGTGTGCGTGTGCGTGTGCGGGTGCGTGTGCGTGCGCGTGCGCGTGTGCGTGTGCGTGTGTGTGTGTGTGTGTGTGTGTGCGTGTGCGTGTGCGTGTGCGTGTGCGTGCGCGTGCGCGTGCGCGTGCGCGTGGGCGTGTGCACGCGGGCGTGGGCGTGGGCGTGGGTGTGGGCGTGGGCGTGTGCGTGTGCGTGTGGGTGTGTGTGTGTGTGGGTGCGTGCGTGCGTGCGCGCGTGCGTGCGTGCGTGCGCGCGTGCGTGAATGTCTGTGTGTGTGTGTGTGTGTGCGTGTGCGTGTGCGTGTGCGTGTGCGTGTGCGTGTGCGTGTGCGTGTGCGTGTGCGTGTGCGTGCGCGTGCGCGTGCGCGTGTGCATGCGCGTGTGCGTGCGCGTGTGCTTGCGCGTGCGCGAGTGCGTGCGAGTGCGCGTGTGCGTGTGCGTGCGCGGCGCGCTTGCGTGCGCGTGCCGCGCGCGCGCGCGCGCGTGCGTTGCGTGCGTGCGTGCGTGCGTGCGTGGTGCGAGCGTGCGTGCGTGCGTGCGTGCGTGCGTGCGGTGTCGTGCGTGCGGGGCGTGCGTGCGTGTGTCGTGCGTGTGCGTGCGTGCGTGCGTGCGTGCGTGCGTGGGTGGGTGGGTGTGTGGTGTGTGTGTGTGTGTGTGTGTGTGTGTGTGTGTGTGTGTGTGTGTGGGTGTGCGTGTGCGTGTGCGTGCGCGTGTGCGTGTGCGTGCGCGTGCGCGTGTGCGTGCGCGTGCGCGTGCGCGTGCGCGTGCGCGTGCGCGTGCGCGTGCGCGTGCGCGTGTGCGCGCGGGCGTGGGCGTGGGCGTGGGCGTGGGCGTGGGCGTGTGCGTGTGCGAGTGCGTGCGCGTGTGCGTGCGCTGTGCGTGTGCGTGTGGGTTTGTGTGTGTGTGTGTCTGTGTGCGCGTACGCGTGTGTGTGTGTGTGTGTGTGCGTGTGCGTGTGCGTGTGCGCGTGCGCGTGCGCGCGCGTGCGCGTGCGCGTGCGCGTGCGCGCGCGCGTGCGCCTTGCGCGTGCGCGTGCGCGTGCGCGTGTGGGTGCGGCGCAGGGCGCGGGCGCTGCGCGGGCGCGGGCGCGGGTGTGGGTGTGGCTGCGGGCGCGGGTGTGGGCGTGGGTGTGGGTGTGGGTGTGGGTGTGGGTGGGGTTGGGGTGTGTTTGTGTGTGTGTGAGTGAGTGAGTGAGTGAGTGAGTGAGTGAGTGAGTGCGTGCGGGCGCGCGCGCGTGGGTGCGTGCGTGCGTGCGTGCGCGCGCGCGCGTGCGCTCCTGCGTGCCTTGTGTGTGCGCGCGAGCGAGTGAGTGACTACGTGAGTTTGAGTGAGTGAGTGAGTGAGTGAGTGAGTGAGTGAGTGATTGAGTGAGTGAGTGAGTGTGAGTGAGTGAGTGAGTGAGTGAGTGAGTGAGTGAGCGAGTCAGAGCCGCAGTGCGCGCGCGCATGCGCGCAGAGGTGCGTGCGTGCGTGAGGGAGCGCGCAAGCGAGCGAGCGGGCGAGCTAGTGAGTGAGTGGTGGAGTGTGTGTGTGTGCGCGCACGCGAGCATAGTGTGTGTGCGCGCACGCTATGCTCGCGCGCGTGCGCTTTTGCGTGCCTTGCGGGCGCGTGCGAGCGAGCGAGCGAGTGACTAAGTGAGTGATTGAATGAGTGAGTGAGGGAAAGCTGCTGCGCTAGGTGGGAAGCGCCAGAGCCACTGCCTAGGGGGCGCCCTGACTTCGCAAGAGGATCCGAAAACGTCATCGCCTCATCCACTTGGAGCTCAAGCTTGCTGAGCGCCCCAGAGTGGCCGAGAAAAGGCGCTGCTGCCTAGTCAGGCCCGCCACCCGCCCCAGTCGCAAACCGCGACTGGCCGGCATAAGGGCAAGACACCGTGGCATCATCGAACTGCAGCGCTTCCCCGCAGGTGCTTCCCACTGTAATCTCTCACAGTGGCACTAAGCCGCAACCACACACTGGTCATTGAAGCCAAAACTCACAGGTAGTGTAGGCTGCAAGATGAGCCATGCAGCACAATGCCACATGGCTTGGACGTAGCCAGAGAAAACAAACTAAATACATTAATGGAGAGCTTGTGCGATTGCAAGGTGCTGCGTCTGATGTTGGGGCGCACTGCCGCGGGGCCCCCACTCTTGTTATTATTGCCAAAATCTAGATTTCTAGATTCCTTTAAATTCCATGATGTTCGACGAGTTCGACCCCCGTCTCCGGACAGCGCCATGACGAGCATGCCACACGCACAAACGTATAGGGGTTCGGACATCGGGGAAAGAACGGCCTAAAGACGACCTAACCCAGAACAAAAATAGCAACACAGGTCCCGCACTGAAAGGAGATTCGGAACCCCTCTTGGAAAAAACAAACAAGACTCCTAAGCCAGGATTTTCCACACAAGGCTGAAAACAACAACATGCATGCTGCACATTCAGAAAACCGTGTTGAGGGCACGACGTTGAGATCGCCACGGAAGATCCAGTAGTACAGGCGTGAAGCCAAGCTTGGCCTCTAGCCCAGCCCAACGGCAGAAAAAGCAGTGATCGCATCCAAGCCGAGTTGCTCTACAAGGCCATCGGTGTCCAGCAACCAACGGTCTGTGCCTGAGAATGGGAAAGGCAGAAGGGACCCACATCAGAATCAAAGCAATTGGCGAGAAGAGTAGCGGATCAGGTGGTGCGTACCTTGGACAAACTGACAGTGGAGATAGCACAGCCGGCCATTGCTCATCTTACCTGGTTGGACATATGCCGGTCGCCCTTCCATAATACCCGCGAGTGTGTAGGACCTTACTTGGATGAGCAACTCTGGCGCTCTCGGCAAGGCATGCTCAGCGGAGGGCCCGTTGATGCGCGCGTTCTCTGCCTGAATGCATCTCTTGGGTTCAAGTGACATGCCACCCTGCCCAGCCTCTGCTCGCCGCCCAGCCATGCGCACCACTGTTGGTGCTACCAAGGCCCTCAGTACCGTGACTTGAACAGACCTGGTCCCCACATCTCCATGCAAATGTTGAAAGGTATTATGCTTGATGCCGGCTTTAGTCAGAATCTTGCACCCAGCCTCATCCCAGGATCAGCACAAAACATGCCTCGACCAGCCTCCCACAGCCTGAGAATCAATTGGAATCACCTGTTTGTTGCCGGCAACCAAGCCCTTGGCATCCACTCAAGCTCTATGTGGCCAGGATGTTGAAAGTGACCAGCCTGTGAGCATGCGCATTGAGGATGTTCGCCTGGTCCCCTAAAACTTTGGAATGTCCGAACAGTGATTGGACAGGTCATTCGACTCTCCGTGCAAAATCCATGGCGTGCCCCACTACCTTCAGAGCCTAGTCAAGACAAAATGCCTAGTATGGCAAGCTTTGCAAGCACCTCCGCAAAGGCTACACAGCCATTGTCCTCGCAAAACAAAGCCGGTCAGCATATGAGACAAATTCAGCAGGGTGAAAAGAACAAGCATGTAATCAATGTAATAAAGGCAACTCCTGGCCCAAGCATGCAATGATCCAGCGATGTTCCTGCCAGCGACACACGCAGAGGAACGTGTCGCTTGCTGTTGAGTTGTTGTCCCTTCCATAATATTCTGTGCCCATCACTTTTTGCTTCAGCACACCAAGCTGCCCTTGACTTTCCAGATACGGCATGCAAACACGGGACCTCTTTCAGGTAGCGAATGCAAAGATCACCTCTGGAATGGACATATGCAGGCCTGCGAGCAGGATGAAACACATGATGCAGAGGGGTGCAGACCGACATAAGTATCCCAGCATGTTGCCAAGGGCAAGATCATGGCGTGCCCACAAAATGCTCGGAACTGCTAATGTCCATGCCGACAAAATGATTCTGATCCACGTGAAGACAGCTTTCTGTTTGCTGCGACGACACCTATTCTGGAACACCCTCCAGCAACACCCTGCTCTACAGCACCCTGCAATGGCACCCTGTAAGCACCGTGCCAAAGTCGCAAGTCACTTGGCTATCACCTTCCAATGGCTCCCTGCGAAACGGCTCCCTGCCAAACAACTGTTGGATTTTCCACAGCGAGCATCGCTATTCGGACAAAACAAGAACAGCCAACAAATCCGGGAGAGCAGTCCAACACAATGGTGATCCGCCTGCCGTGGCAGACACTGGCCAAGTCGTACCGGCCGTTGATGACGTCAGTCGCTCCTCGGCATCTAACTACGCATTCAAAGCGTTCAAAGCATTCAAAGCATTCCGGGCCTGCGGCTCTTCCCACAATTGTGACGGTGCGCGGTGCTGAGACAGCGATCACCTTCGAAGAACGCGATGCCGAATCTCTATCCCTGGCCACTGGCCTCTGTGTCGGCAACATGGCCTTGCATCCTGGACTCCCACACCTTCGAAACGTCGAATCGACAAACTCTGAAAAAAGAGTCTGAAAATCGATTCGAAAATCGAAAATTCGAACATCGATGCAATCCAAATTGAGGTCAGCTCGCACCAAATTAATTCTGGATGCGCAGGATGGGGAAGATCTCTGGAGTCAGCAGCAAAGGCTGCACACACCTTCAGCTTGGAAGATCGAGCTAGGGGAAACCCTCAACACAATCTTGCTAATGTGCGTGCGTATGTGTGTGTGAATCCCTTCTTGTTGGCAGGCAAGTTTGGTTTATTCACATTGCTGTTACGTGGGCTTGACTTAGGCTTTGTCGTACATACAAGACAGCAAAGCAAGGAACTCATTTTGGCTTTTCTGCTTTGCAAAAAGAACCAGTGCTCTGGGGACGTGCCAAGAACAGAGTTGTTCATGAGTTCCGCCCAGCTTCACTGTTCAAAAACCGCCTGAGACATCCGAAGTGGCCATGTCTTGTTAGCACCGTTCAATGGAGCTACGCTTCAGGGACTGCCAGTACTTCTGCTTCCTGGTCGACCGTTGTTTTACTCCACATCGTGTCAGTGCCATAGGGAGTGGTACAAGCCTCAAAAAGCCATATAAGGCTGTCTCACATGTACCTGAGCTTGCCACGTCCGACTCGCGCAATCCTTCTCTGTCTATCACCCACCGTCTCTGCGGTGGCCTACAAACGAGCTCTCTTGTCAAGCACGGGGACCCTGTGAAGGCACGGCGCCAGTATCTGATAACCGTTGTGGATCCCCGTTGTCGATAGACGGCTCGACCATACACAGTGCCACCACGCAAGTACCTCAAAATTCAGCATCAGACATCAAGATGGAATTGGACGTGCAGCGGCCAGAACAGGCGACATGATTGCCCTCCACACATTTTGGTGGTAGCTCACTTACCGCAGATGTCGCTATTCTCTCGCCCATGTGAGCGACCAACTATGTGCAGCCTTTGTCACAGCAAAGGCAAAAACCTTCAACCTGCACACAATGAATCGTCACTGCCCCACACAGGCCGAAAACAAGCATGTCCTCAGGCGCAGGCACGTCTGGTAATCCTGGATCCTGACTTCCATTCATCCTCCAATAGGATTCCAACACATTCATGCCCATAATGTCTCAGGGCAACAAAAGCATCTGATTCTCAGATTGGCTTCAAGTGCAAATAGTCACTGTGAGGCACGTGTTCAGAATGGCATGTTCACACTCACATAATCTCCGTCTGAGTCGCATTTTTCAAGCATGCGCAGCACAAATACTCAAAGTATTGCATGTGATTTGTCAATCTCAGTTCTCCAGGATCTTGTGCTCACTGCCTACACTATATCTTCATGAACAAGCCGGACATGCAAAGCATCATCCATGTGCAAGTACTCTCATGACAATCTTTGTTCGAGCTTGGCAATCAAGCTTGAGAAGAAGCAGTCAAGCGGTTGGTGACAAACTCTGGGCCTCAATAAGCAAATGCAGGGTGCAATGCGTTCTCGCAAATATGCCGAGTTCTGGATCTGCACATGTTTAATCGCGGATTAGGTTAAAGAAAACCATTGACAGCGTGTGTCAAAGAGTGCCATTCGACAAAACATGCTTTGCCAAACCAAACAATGAAAAAGGAAGCAAAGAGAATACCAAGTCGGACACCCCTGGCAAAGTCTTCAGAGGCACGCAGTTTCTCTTGTCGCTAAACGTGTCAAAGTTTCTGCAAGGAATGGTAGTTGTTCCTTGACATCCGAATTTGCTGTCCAATGTGCGTAGCACGTGTAGCTATCGTGTCGCACTAAGTGAAGCGTGAGGTTAGCATCGCACCCTCCGCCTGTAAAAGATCAGAATCAAACATCACCAAGAGTGGCATCCTGAGTATCCAAAACGGCATCTTGTTGCCAAGATTGTGGATACTCATTGGACCATGCAGTGAAGATCTGGCGAGAACCTTTTCCACCCAAGTAAATTTCCCGGCCGTGGCCCACTCTCAAATTGTCAACAAGTACAACATCATGCGCCGCATAGGCGTGCTGAATTGTGTTTGCATGAATGGCAGCCTTCATCTCGCTGAGCTCTTTTTTGGAAAACACCTCGCCGTTCTCGAACACAGCCGTTGAGCCAAGCTCTTTCTCGGGAACAAAAAAGTCCAGCAGCCCAAACAGTGCTCTGTAGTAGAAGGACAATGCAAGCGGCCAAACCTGCACCAGACCTCCCCAAAGGTGAGATGTCCGAGCATAGTCAGCTGCCATGGAATCTTTATGCAATACATTGATATGGTTGAACCACACTTCGTCGCCAGTGATGGGATGCTTTCTCACAAACGGCTGCACGTTGCTGAGGGTCAACTTGTTTGAAGCACCCCAGGTGCAATTAAAATCTTCGTCGGCGCACTTCTGCATGACATCCTTCTCATCTTTAAACATCTTCTGCCAGCACTTCTGGACCAAGGGGTCGAAGTGTCCAACCGCGCTGCAGTCGTCCATGTTGCGAATATACTTCACTTTGCCGTTGCCGAATTTCAACTGCCACTCCGGATTCTCACGAAGCTGCTCCCAAACTCCACGGAAATCGGTCAAAGGTGTCTCACCACCTTTCCATTGATCAACTTTGTTGGCAAAGAACATCTGTGTGGCTGGCGGCTTACTACGGAATGACATTTCCAGATGCACTGGCACCGTTCGATGCGGGTCGAAATCTGCGGCAGTATGTACGTAGGTTGTGCCGTTAATTGAGCTGCGTGGAGAGGTCCCAAGGTAGACTCTCTCCAAGTCCCGCAGCAGAGCAAGAGCCACCTGTCTGCAATGTCTGAACACGCCCACATGCTTACGAGCTAGGATCCAAGCTTCAGCGAGATTGGGGCGAGTTTCAAGCGCCCGCTTGCCTGCGGGTTGACTACTTAGCAGCCTTCTGACATGCTACATATTCTGCTAAAGCCAAGCCTGCGTGTTCCTATCAAAGGAATGCGCCATAAGAAGCTAATCACTGTGAATCACCAGCCCAGTCAATCGATAACCAGGCTTCATATATACTTGCTAAATTGAGACACTGAGGGAATTTATGTTGGATACCAGTGGCTTGGCTGACCGCCCCCCAAATAACTGCGATAGACTTGAGCCAAACACCACGGTAGGTGGCATGGCCCTGGCATTGCAACACTATTCACACCCCCCGCGCGGTAATGTTCATTTTGGAACATCCCGCGCAGAGGCCGAAAACGCAGCTGTTATTCTTAGTGCGCGCTCCTTTCTGTCTATTCCAAGTAGCGGCTCCAATTTTGCATCGCTTTCGATGGATGCAAAACGACACATCATTTCAAGCCTTCTGCACTGACGAATCGAGATACATCACCAAAGAAGTTGTTAGGATCACCCAGTGCTTCGCAGAGGAGTTCCCGAATTTGCGAGAAGAAGTGCCAGCTAGCTGTATAATAGCCCGTTTGCGTTGAAACATCATCAAAGTTCGTTAAGAGCCATATGCCCAATACTCACATGCGTGAGTAGAATGCGGAACATTGGCTCGCAGACGGTTGACCAGTAAGACGCCGCTTCATCTCTTCCCTGCCTCCGAAGAGACCCGGCTGACCTGATCCTCCGCCTGTGTCGCCAACAAGTATTGGCACCCAAGCAGAAGCCCCCCCCTTTCAGGTGCCTCCTCCAATGACTTTAAACCAAATTCCAGTTTGCATTTTGTATTGCGCATCTCCATTCCAACGCTTGTACAGAATACTGAATTCGAGTGGAATGGGCAGATATACATCTCGCCATCTGGTCCACCGGAAACCCGCGTGGAACCATGCAAATAGCTAGTTGCAATTATGAATCAACTCTGGCAGGTTGCAGACCTATCATCGTCGCTGATGTCGATAGCCTTGGCTCCAGGACTCATCTTGCCACCATTGATCGCGATCTCTTACATCCTCACTATCGCGTAAGTCCTGTCGCCGACTTCCCTCTCTTGGACTTTCCGGTCGGCGCTTCTTGGCGGCCCAACCCTCAGCACGCCCTGCCCCTTTCCTGCTCAGAGGACCGAAAGTCCGCGGAATTGCGCTTCCGCGCTTGACAGGGGGTCGCAGTCATCTTGGCTTTCGCACTTCCTTTCTCAGCAGGTTCGGGTTGGATGACGGTGTCACCAACTGCTTGGCGAATCTTCGTCCCCGCTCTTTCTCCCCGTCCCTGCTTCCCCTGGAAAGACTTGCCCAACTCCAACATCTTTGGTGTCATCCAGAGGCCGTGGTAATGCATGAGACGCACATCCTGGGTCCTCATCTTGTCGCCCCATAGCCACACAAACTCCTCTACGATCTCCCCTTCTTCTTCGGCAGCGGCTTCAGCCTCCTCACGGGCCTCTCTCTCAATTTCTTCCACATCGACGTTCTCAGCCTCCTCCTGCGCTGAGACGTTCCGCCGCGCTTCTCGAATGGATGTACATGGTTATACGTGAACGAAGCCGTCGCGCGGTTCAAGCGGTTTGCTGGCTGGTCATTAAGTAAGACGTTGGTTGATCCTGCGTTCCTGGAGCTTGATTTCCACAGCAAGGCGTGGGACCAGAACACAAAAAGGAGCGCGCGCCAAAATATTTGTCTTGAGCAAAAATTACGGGTTTTGGTTGTGTGGAAGAATGCACCACACTTTGGGTCACTGATCTCCATTTTATTTTGGAGGGGGAACTTGTAATAAGCTCAACCGAGCACACAACATCGGTCACTATTCGGTCACTGACCAGTGAGAAGTTAAATGCACTTGCAACGCTGCCCATCCTCAGCACGCTCATTTCCCCTATTGCCCGACTGCGCGGTGTAGCAGCAAGCGGAAAACAAAATCCGGTTCCTTGCCGAAAGGGCAGTCGAACCCCCGCAGGCAACAGCCAAGTTTCTCGGTAGCGCAGTTTGTTGCCTGGTGAAGTAGCTGCTTCAACGCGGTACTCAAATTGCGCAGGGATTTTTTGGGTCGCGCGTTCTTCTCGATTTCCTGCTGGAGTTTCTCATCAGTTTTGCGGATACGTGCATGCCACTCTTGTTGGACTGACAGCACACTATTGCTCCAAAATTCCAACTCTTGCTCCACGGCGCCTCTCGGCTCAAGGACTAAACGCAAAGCAAGCTGGGGTCGATCTCCGATTCCGGAATGTTGCTTAAGGTCTTTCTGGAAAACAGAAGCCATCATGGTTTGCCACACGGTGCGCGTGGACAGGTTCTTTCACATGATAGCTGGTCAGGTGTTGAGCTCTTGGAGCCTTGGCTCACGATTGCGGCGATATCTTTTGAATCCAAAAAGCTTTGGGCGCAGGTGTGTGTGCGTGTGTGCGTGTGTCCCTGTGCGCCCCAGTTTGCTCAAAAGCATAGCCAGCAGCTCATCCTTGGGGGCATGTTTCCATGCCGGCATGAAGCGTGTCTCAACCCAGGCTACAAGCTGCAACACTGCGGGTGGCACCCACATGATGACGCCCATGTTACGCTGTCCCAGGGCTTCGTTTTCCAAAGAGCTCTTCAGACCTTGAAAGGCGTGTGACTCAGCAAAGAAGCGCACACTGTGCGCAACAAATTGACAGCGGATGTCATGAAGCTGCATTGTCATCAATTGTGATCAGCTTGGTCTTACTGTTGGTCTCGTAAGCTAGCCTAAACGTCGCTATCTGGAAGATTCATTGCACGGCGCTGTAATACATAGTTTCACTCACCCCTACCTCCTCTCCTCTTTGGCAGCCTCCCAGAACACGTCCATTTGTGGAGCGAAGCGGTATTCGATATTACAACTGAACACCCGCAGCAACTGACACTTTTGGCCACAACGCCTGCCTCCTCCAACTTGTCATCACGCAAGTCCCTTGCTGTCGCCATGAGACAGGCATGGTGATCTTCCTCCGTCAAGCAACGACTCATCCGCTGCCACTGCCAGTTTGATGGGCTTGGGGTGCGACATTTGTCCTCCATCAGCCATTTGACGCTGCAACTGTACACCGGCACGCTTGCCAATGCGGCTTCCTCATCTTTCCAGTCTGCAGGAGAAGTCGGCGACGTCACTTCAACAGGGTCGCAGGCGGACTTTCTTTTTCGCAGCCGGATCGACAGAAGCCTCATCTGGCAAGGGCTCCTCCTCCTTCCCTTCAAGAAGCTGGTTCTCCACCGCACTCAAGTCCATCGGCCCTGGGATCTGTTCGTCACCGTGATAGTCTTGACCCTCCTTGAAGATTGTAAGGCGGTGGCTGGGTGGGCTCCTCAGCATCCAAGCCACGATCCTTGGCATCTCTGTAAGCGCCGGGATTACGTTGGCACACCGCGTGAAAGCCTCAACCCTCGACGCCACAATGCGACGCTGTCCCTGTTTGTTCATAAACGGAGAGCAGCACGGTGGCGGTGAGGGGGTGGCTCCTAAGCTTCGGCCTTCCGTTTGACCGCCTCGCCATCAAGCACGCACATACAGACACACTTACAACTCACAAGCTTGCGGCGCACAACATGTTGCAGCTAGAGCCATCACGACTGACGGGCAGCATTGCTCCACGTGTTGCTTGTCCGCACGTCGGGCCATGCGAGCCTGCACAAAGACCTCCTCCCGTTTCAATGTTCCGGCAGGAGCTTGATGCATGATTTGAGATGGCTCATCTCCAATCTGATGTTGGCCACCAGAGGCTGCAGGATGATGTGTCGGGCTTTGTACAGCAGGCGTCCTTGATTGAGATCAGGTTCCCTTTGGTTTACTCCATGCTCGTGAAGCATTCGCTTGTGCTTGAGTGCCAGTGGGTTGAATATTTGTGCTTTGATCTGTAGGGTGGTTCGAATTTGTGAGCACCAACTTGAAACCAGCCGACCAGCGCAACCGTCATACTTTTGCCCCTAAGCTATTGAGTTATCCCCCTTCTCAAAGCCCTCTTCCACCGGTTGAATGTTGGGATGATGTTAAATCCGCTGGCTGATGGAACTAGTCACAAGAAGGCTGGCGTCCACAGCGACCGGCTCAGTGCTGGGCGCTGTTTGCCCGCAAGGTGGCGCTCGCAACTTTCAAGTCAGTCGTCAACAAAAATAATTCACGAGGCGACAATGCGACAGCATCCAGAAAGCTAATCTAGCTCTTCAAATCAAACTGCTTCAGGCGCAACGGCAGACTGGTGTGTAGAGAAGCAAGACGTACCTGAAAAGAGCGGACCAAAAAAAGGTGCTGAGACCTTGGCTGTTGCCGGAACGGCCCCCTGCACGTTATCTAGAGAACGGCAAGTACGATTGGCTAAGGATAGGCTTCGGGCTTAGAGTGAAGGACTTGGTTGGCTGGTTTGGGCTCAGCTCGGCGTCGGTTCTGGATCAGTTTTGGGTTGTTTTCAGGGCTTGCCCAGGGGCTACGAACTCGTTCAAGTGAGTTTAGGAAGGGTGAATTCGGTTGGTGTGGGATTAGTCTAGGCTCGGTTGAAGAAAAGTTACTCTTGTAACAGCTGAGCAAAAGCTGGAAGATTGAACTGGGAACAGAATCGGGTTCTTCCACATGCGTGTCAACCACTGGTCTCAGATGCCTGGGAGCAATACTCCAAACTGGCGCGTCCCTGACACATCCTGTGTGGAGAATTCTGTTGGTTGCGTCCAGTCCTTTCAGTTGACTTGCTAGCATCCGCAAGACCCTACTTAAATCCGATTGCTTGCGCGGCGAAATATGCGGCACGCGGCATCCCGAGCCCTTCGAACCACAACCCACAAGTGGCAGGAATCAACCCTCTGCAAGGCAGTATTCAGAATCAACCCACATCTATCAAATCCTGCTTCATGCTCCTGAATGCCTGTGAAAGCTAAGCCTCTTTAGAGCTGTGACCTGACAACATGAAGTGACTCACCCTGACTTTGCCCACCTGCTCGAACGCCAAGGCGTCCGGAATAGAGAACCCGCGGAAGATCACTGCTCCATACTTGAAGAACACGTTCTTCAGCCATTGTGTATGCTCTTTCAGCCAGTTGGCCAACCAAACGGAGTCTAAACCCTGGCCATGCTTGGGTGAGATTCTCACCGAAAATCCTGCGTCATCGGCTTGCACGTCGAGCTCCGGAAAGCCTCCCAAGCAGGTGCCATCACATGAAACCTGTACAGTGCAACAAATCGCCAGGACTGCCCATTTCATGCTTTCAGGGAAACGGGTCGCTGAGCCAAAAGTCTACGCGGTGCACCCAAAAGAGCCCCGCATCCACACCTTGCAACCCTTCAGGTTAGGGCACTGACGCAACTTTTGAGCGCAAGGCCTCTGACTGTTGGCATGCTACAAGCTTTGCTCACAGATCGAGCAACCAGCCTTGGCGCTGCCTCTGCTGCCTCGTGGCCGCAGCCTCTACCCTTCTCTGTCATAATCACGGGCCTCTCCGACCTCTCCGACACGCTCACTCACTGCTTCTTTGGCTTCTTTGGCTCTTTGGCCTCTTTGGCCTCTTTGGCCTCTTTGGCCTCCGCCTCTGCCGGAAATGTGGCGAGCATACAAGCCTCAAGAAGCATCGGCAGGACGGACGGATCGCCGGGGAAGGACTCCCAATGCAAAGGTTTATCTCAAAAATGTAATCGGTGCTGGGCATTTAGGGCACGGACCTTCATGGAGGCCGGAAGCGATTCCACGGAGCCCAGCTTGGATAACATGCTCCAACGGCCTGTCCTCTAAAGATTCCCCACGGGCAGGGAAGGCCAGCGTCGCCTTCCGTGTCTAGTATGTCCAGTTTGGCTTCGCTCGGACTCTGGAAGTCAGACTTGCCATTTGCAGAGGTCTGCAGCTAGCTTCATTGCAGCGCTGGTCGCCTCCACCCACCTGTCACACTCCTCGGCACGCAAATAGCGCGAAACACAAGCCGCCTCAGTGAGCAGAAATTAATTGACGCGTTATGATTTGTTCATGCTTGCCTTCTTGCCTTCTTGCCACGCGATAGCCAGTCCGAATTCAAGTCTCCGTGAGTTTGGCTGCATTCTTTGCATCCGCCGTGCCCTGCCCAGGATAGCGTGGTGCCACGGCATGAATGCACCACTTCAGCTGGCCATGCTATCAGGTTGCACGCAGAGTTCAGAGAAGTTCAGAAAAACAAGTAATCGAAACAAATGAGCATTCGGATTCGTTGAAAACGCCGAACCAAAGCAAAACAGACCTGAGCCAAAACCTGCAGCCATGGAATGTCTCTACCGCACAGCTCGTTCATCTCAAGTGAAGTGGACCTCTGCCGCTCTACCGCTGCAGCTCTTTTGCCTGGCGAAGGCGACAAGGCGCTTGCAAAGAAAGCTCCTGAGAAGGAAGGCGTGCTAAGCCTCTCTTGGCCTCTATGGTCTGGGCCAAGAGCTGTACAGCGGCAAAAGGCGAAGCTGCCTCACCCCGGCACGCAAGCCGTGTCATTGTCACCTGAGGCAAGGAGGCGTGCCGTGGCACGCCATGGGGCCGAGGGGCCGAGGGGCCGACTCAACATGTAACCTGGGTTGCATAGAGCGCAGCGAGATGGCTGCAAATGCAGCAGGGAGCCTGCGCGCGCTCAGCGCTTGGTTCAGAAGGCTTTTTGACGTGACTTTCAACTGCGCCTCCAGCAGCCTTCCGGGCAGTGCTGCAGGTGACGTGCTCCCTGGCACAGTTCTCCACCTGAACTGAACCGGCAGTGCAACAAAGAAGAACCAGATCAAAAGGAGCAACTTTGAAACGTGCAAGCAGTTCTGTAAAACTCGCAGAAGAGGAAACTCGGAGCAAGATGAAAACGATTGAAAAAGTTCAAAAGTGAAGCTGAAGAAGACGTCTTTCAAAAGACATAGAAGACGTAGAGGACCGCAGAGGACCGTAGAGGACGAGAAAGCGACTCCGACTGAGGCGACGGCAGCGGGGCAGGGGCAGCACTTGGCGTAGCCGCGGTACCCGCTCCAGCAGTGGCCTCAACGCATCTCTTCGAATTCGGGAGTCGAATTTCCAATCCAAGTCCGAAGTCCGAAGACGAAAAAAGAGGAAGAGAGAGAAGAGAGGAAAGAGGAGAGGAAAGGAGGAGAGGAAGGAGGAGAGGAAAGAGGAGAGGAAAGAGGAGAGGAAAGAGGAGAGGAAAGGAGGAGAGGAAAGAGGAGAGGAAAGAGGAGAGGAAAGAGGAGAGGAAAGGAGGAGAAAGGAGGAGAGGAAAGGAGGAGAGGAAAGGAGGAGAGGAAAGGAGGAGAGAAAAGGAGGAGAGGAAAGAGGAGAGGAAAGAGGAGAGGGAAAAAGGAGAGGAAGGAGGAGAGGAAAGGAGAAGAGGAAAGGAGGAGAGGAAAGGAGGAGAGGAAAGGAGGAGAGGAAAGGAGGAGAGGAAAGAGGAGAGGAAAGAGGAGAGGAAAGAGGAGAGGAAAGAGGAGAGGAAAGAGGAGAGGAAAGAGGAGAGGAAAGGAGAGGAAAGGAGGAGAGGAAAGGAGGAGAGAGAGGAAAGGGAGGAGAGGAAAGGAGGAGAGGAAAGGAGGAGAGGAAAGGAGGAGAGGAAAGGAGGAGAGGAAAGGAGAGAGGGAGGAGAGGAAAGAGGAGAGGAAAGGAGGAGAGGAAAGGAGGAGAGGAAAGGAGGAGAGGAAAGGAGGAGAGGAAAGGAGGAGAGGAAAGGAGGAGAGGAAAGGAGGAGAGGAAAGGAGGAGAGGAAAGGAGGAGAGGAAAGGAGGAGAGGAAAGGAGGAGAGGAAAGGAGGAGAGGAAAGGGAGAGGAAAGGAGGAGAGGAAAGGAGGAGAGGAAAGGAGGAGAGGAAAGGAGGAGAGGAAAGGAGGAGAGGAAAGGAGGAGAGGAAAGGAGGAGAGGAAAGGAGGAGAGGAAAGGAGGAGAGGAAAGGAGGAGAGGAAAGGAGGAGAGGAAAGGAGGAGAGGAAAGGAGGAGAGGAAAGGGGGAGAGGAAAGGAGGAGAGGAAAGGAGGAGAGGAAAGGAGGAGAGGAAAGGAGGAGAGGAAAGGAGGAGAGGAAAGGAGGAGAGGAAAGGAGGAGAGGAAAGGAGGAGAGGAAAGGAGGAGAGGAAAGGAGGAGAGGAAAGGGGGAGAGGAAAGGGGGAGAGGAAAGGGGGAGAGGAAAGGAGGAGAGGAAAGGAGGAGAGGAAAGGAGGAGAGGAAGGGAGGAGAGTAAAAAGTGAGGAAAGTAGAAGTAGGAATGGTGGAGAGGAATAGGAGGATGAAAGGAGGTAGAGATAGGAGGTGTGTTTGGTGGAGTGGTTTGGTGGTAGGTATGGTGGAGAGGTAGGTGTAGGTAAGGAGGAGATGGTTTAGGTGGAGAGGTATGTGTGGATTGGAGGAGAGGTTGAGTGTGATAGTGGAGTGGTATGGTGTGTGAGTTAGTGTTGTAGTTTGTGTTGTGGTAAGTGATTGGTATGGAGGTGTGGTGGTTGAGGAGTGGTTTGGTGGTTGGAAAAGGTGGGGTGGTTTGGTGGTGAGTTAGTATGGTATGTTGGTAGGAAAGGAGGAGTGGTTAGGTGGATGGTTTGGAGAGTGGTTTGGTGTGAGTTTGGAGGTTGTAAGATGGAAGGTTAGGGGGAGTGGAATAGGGGTGAGGTTTGGGGTGTGGTTGGTGGTGTGGTTTGGATTGTGGATTGGAGTTTGTTAGGTGGTATATGGTGGTGTGGTTTGGTGGTGTGGTATGGTGATGTTTGGTGTTGGATTGGTGGTTATGGTTTGGTGTGTGGTTTGGTGTGTGGTTAGTGTGTGTTTGGTGGATGGTTTGGTGTGTGTTTGTGGAGGTTTGGTTGTGGTTTGTGAGTTTGTGTGTGGTTGGTGGTGTGGTTTGGTGGAGTGTTTGTGTGTGGTGGTTTGGTGTGTGGTATGGTGGTGTGGTTTGTTGGTGTGGTTGGTGGTGTGGTTTGGTGGATGGGTGTGTGGTTTGGTGGTGTGGTTTGTGGTGTGGTTTGGGTTGGTGTGGTTTGGTGTTTGGTGGCACTCCCAGCAGCTCAGGGTGTGGTATGGTGGTTGGTTAGGTGGTGTGGTTGAGGTGTGGTTTGTGTGTGTTTGTGTGTGGTTTGGTGTGAGTGTGTGAGGTTTGGTGTTTGTGTGTTGGTGGTTGGTTTGTGTGTGGTTTGGTTGGTGTGGTTTGTGGTGTGGTTGGTGGTGTGGTTTGGTGGTGTGGTTTGGTGGTGTGTTTGGTGGTGTGGTTTGTTTGTATGTGGGTGTGTTAGTTGTGTGGTTTTGGTGTGTGGTTTGTGGTGTGGTTTTGGTGTGGTTTGTAGTGTGTGGTTTGGTGGTGTGGTTTGGTGTTTTGGGGTTGTTTTGTGTGGTTTGGGGTGTGTTGGGGGTGTGGTTTGGGGTTGGTATGGGTGTGGTTTGGGGGTTGTTTTGGGTGTGGTTTGGGGTAGGTTTTGGGGTGTGGTTTGGGGTTGGTTTTGTGTGTGGTTTTGGTGTTGGTTTTGGTGTTGGTTTGTGTTTGTGTTTGTGTTGGTTTGGTGGTGTGTTTGTGTGTGGTTTGTGTGTGGTTTGGTGTGGTTTGGGGTGTGGTGTGGGGGTGTGTTTTGGGGTGGTGTTGTTTATTGGTTTTGGTGTGGGTGGTTGTTTGGTGTTGTTTGGGGTGTTTGGTTTGGGTTTTGTTTGGGTTGGAGTTTTTGGTTGGAATGGGTGTTGTGGTTTGGGGTGGTGTGGTTTGGGTGGTGTGGTTTGGGTGGTTGGTTTGGGGTGTGTGGTTTGGGGTGGTGTGGTTTGTGTGGTTGTTTGGGGTGGTGTGTGTGTGGGGGTGTGGTATGTGGTGTGGTTTGGGTGGTTGGTGTGGGGGTGGTGTGGTTTGGGTGGTGTGGTTTGGGTGGTGTGGTGTGGGGTGGTGTGTTTGGGGTGTGTGTTTGGTGGTGTGGTTTGGGGTGGTGTGTTTGGGTGGTGTGGGTTTGGGGTGGTTGGTTTGGAGGTGTGGTTTGGGGTGGTGTGGTTTGGGTGGTGTGGTTTGGGGTGTTGGTTGGGGTGTGTGGTTTGGGTGGTTGGTTTGGGGTGTGTGGTTTGGGTGGTGTGTTTGTGGGGTGTGGTTTGTGGTTGGTGTGGTTGGTTTTGTTGGTTTTTGTGGTTTGTGGTGTGTTTGTGGGTGGTTTGTGGTTGTTTGTGGTTGGTTTGTGGTGTGGTTTGTGTGTGGTTTGTGGTTGGTTTGGTGTGGTTTGTGGTGTGTTTTGTGGGTGTGGTTTGTGGGTTGGTTTGTGGGTTGGTATTGGTGTGGTTTTGGGTGTGGTTTTGTGGTGTGTTGTGGTGTGGTTTTGGGTGTGGTTTTGGTGTGGTTTTGGGGGTGTTTGTGGTGTGGTTTGTGTGTGGTTTGTGGGTGTGGTTGGGTATGTGGGTGTGGTATGTGGTTGGGATGTTTGTGTTTTGTTTTGGTGTTGGTTTGTGGTGTTTTGTTGTGTGGGGTTATTGGTGTTATGGTGGTGTTTTGTGTGTGTTTGGTGTGTGTTTGTGTGTGGTTTTGTGGATGTTTGTGTTGGTTTGTTGTTTGTGGTGTGTTTGGTGTGGTTTGGGTTGGTTTGGGTTGGTTTGTGTGTTGTTTGTTGTATTTGTGGTGTGTTAGTGGTGTTTGTGGTTGTTTGTGTGTGATTGTGTGTGTTTGTGGTTGTTTGTGGTGTGTTTGTTAATTTTGGGGAATGTGAATTCAGAAACAGACCAAGCAGCGAATGCGAATGATGCGAATGTGGAGAGCGGATCCTTTCCACTCCAAGCATCTAGCGCAAAAAGACGAAAAGGCGTCCAAGCAGCAGCCGTTGCCGGAGATCTTCCCAAATCCGCTTTTGCAGGACCAGGGCCCGCCGCTGCAAAAGTATCGTCCACCTGCGGGGCCTGACCTGGGACCTTTCAAGCATGTCAAGCTTTCAACTACTTAGTTACTTGGGCCAGTGCCATAGTAGTCACAACCTCAAGTGGATCATGCGCGCTGAATATGTATTCTTGCAACTTGAGCCAGCAGCCCCAGCCATCACCCCGCACGGGCCAGCAAGTGTGTGGCCTCAAGTCTTCGGAGTCACAAGTGGGAGGCTCTCCATGTAAATGCTGGGGCTGCAGCCGGTAAGTTAGGCCTGCGCCAGTCAAGCCACGTCGTTCTTACACATCCACATCTTTGCTATGCTTTGCCACAGGCCTGAGCTTCTGCAGTCCATCTCACAAGTGCTTCTTGCAGTACATTCCTGTCTCGGCCGATGCGCTATGTGCGCCATGTGCGCTAACTGCAAGTTGGGGGCCTCAGGCCCTAGGCCCTCGCACGGGTTCTCGGGAGGCCACCTGACACATCAGACACGGCTCTCAAACATATATACAATGAGATTCACTCGTTTCGAGCTTAGCTTTGATTGGCGTGGCCCCCCCCGCACCACTAAAATGACATTATGAGTCTGACTTTCATCTGTGGCCGAGTCTGACGCAGAATATGTGACATTTGTGCACTCTTGCACTCATACTTTGCTGCCCTCCCCGTCACCCGCTGCGCCTGGCCGCCGCAAGCCACAAATGGCACAGCAAGTGTCGCATCCCGAAAGTGAGATGAGCTGAGAGGCAAGCGGTCACAATACGAGCAATGTGAAGCGCAACAAAGCGTGTGATAAGCTGACTCGATCCAATGCAGCATCTGCAAGTGGTGTTTGCCCTCAAGCCTTTTGCCAGAAACTATTAGCATATGGCAAGCTCTTGCAAGAAACGATTCGGGCAATTTGTTGAAATTCTGGCTGAAGTTGGAAGATCACTTGTCGATGTAGTCTGCCTCTGCGAGGTCTGCGCGTTATGAGGCCATACAGAGTGCCCTCTTGTGAATTGCGATCGGTGTGTCCATGCTCATTGGAAATCTGAAGCTGAGGCAACTGACTTTCACTTTCCGTGCAAGCAAATAGCCCGATGATGTCGACAATGCCAGATTCACTGCCTTGCAAAATGAGGCAACACCTTCGAATGCTCCTCATTGTCTCCCTCCCAAAAGAAAACGTGGTAAGTCCCAAGCAAACAGGCTGTAATTGACAGGAGTGATGACCTTGCCGGGGTGAGACGTTGTCGCTTCAGCAAGATTGTAGAATGTCACCAATCAGTTCAGGCTGTGACAAAGGACCAGCGCATGAAGATCAAGCCAGTGAGTGTGAGAGCGCTCGTCCTTGGTTGCAGCGCGTTGGGCTAGAGCCTCTTTCGTTGAATTTCCGAAAAGAAATCAGTACTAGGATGGCTGCATGGACAAGCTGATCTTGTCTGTGGGACGGTCATAGTCCTCACGCCAAGAATGCTTCAGCAATGCACCAAGCTTTTTGGTTTGCTCTCCATCAAGTTATTGATCGAAAGGGCCCACTTGAAGTTTGGCGCCTTGGCAGAATGACAGCGTAGAGTACACTGGTCCCCACTGCTCTCTATGAGATCGTGGCCCAGAAGTGGATGTAAAAAGGCCCGGCCTCAGTTCTCCAGGCTGGGCCCCAGGCACTCCAGATGCACTCCAAATGCACTCCAGACACACCCCGGGAACCGGGCCGGATGCGTGGCCATGCGCGCCAAGAAGCCGCCTCCCCTGTCGCAGGCTCGGGTCCTCCCCTGCCCTCCCCTGCCCTCCCCTGCCCTCCCCTGCCCTCCCCTGCCCTCCCCTTCCCCTGCCCTCCCCTGCCCTCCCCTGCCCTCCCCTGTGCACCCCTTCAGGCTGTTCTGCAACGGCCTCAGCACGCAGTTGGCGAAGTCAGAGGTACCACGACATCTAACTAAGCTGGGGTCGCGCTTGCGGCCACCATAGCCCCAATGCCTTGCGCCAGACCAAAGGCATTTATTTGTGATTGTCAGACGCACGCTGTGGGTTCACCATATCATAGTGCTCTCTTCCGCTCAGCAGCATCTTACAACTGGTGCGCAACGCAAGTTGCACTTTTTCCCTCGCCCCCTCACTTCGGTAAGGGCCGCTCTTTGCAAGATCGTTGGCTGTCAATGCTGGGTCGTCGATTCCCGGCGAGCGCAATGAACAATCCGTCAATCTTCAGAGCAAAGAAGGAGCAAAGGCAAAGGTGATTGCGTCACGCGATAAAATCGTTTTTTCGGCAGCTCTCGGACCAACACACCACGCAGTAGCAGGCTTGTTTGCCCTGAGGTACGTTGCCAGCTTGGCACGGCTTTGGTGGTTTCTTCCGTCCAACAAAAATCAAACTCTGCGGAGCCTGCGAGCAACATCATGCTGTACGCACAAGCAGGGCTTAGAAGGTCTAGCATTTTGGCACGCCTTAGCTCGAAGTGGCGAGCCCCTCGAAAACTGGCCTGCTCAGCCTCTGCTGGCCTTGCCGTCACTGCGTCTCACGGCCTCTCTTCGTGCTGCGCACGTGCCTTCGTTGAGATCATAGCCGCTGAGCGCGCCCACAGCGCGCATCGCAACTAAGACCAAGATGATGGAGCTAAGAGGGTTGCAACTGCCAGCGCTGTCTGAGCCTTCTCGTGGCACGGCTGCCGCGCAGCCAGTGTGTGTGTGTGTGTCAGTGTGTGTCAGTGTGTGTCGGTGTGTGTCAGTGTGTGTCAGTGTGTGTCAGTGTGTGTGTGTCAGTGTGTGTCAGTGTGTGTCAGTGTGTGTCAGTGTGTGTCAGTGTGTGTCAGTGTGTGTGTGTGTGTGTGTTTGTCTTTGTCTTTGTCTTTGTCTTTGTCTTTGTGTTTGTGTTTGTGTTTGTGTTTGTGTTTGTGCTTGTGTTTGTGTTTGTGTGTGTGTTTTTGTGCGTGTGTGTGTGTGTGTTTGTTTTTGTGTTTGTGTTTGTGTGTGTTTGTGTGTGTGTCTGTGTGTGATTGTGTGTGTGTGTGTTTGTGTGTGTTTGTGCGTGCGTGTGTGTGTAGCAATGTGTGTGTCAGTGTGTGTCAGTGTGTGTGTGTGTGTTTGTCTTTGTCTTTGTCTTTGTGTTTGTGTTTGTGTTTGTGTCTTTGTGCGTGTCTAACACACACACACGCTGACGCAGACTAACACGCGCACACTGACACACGCTGACACACGCTGACACGCGCTGCCACACGCTGACACACGCTGCCACACGCTGACACACACACACACACACGAACACACTCACTAACACACACACATGTGTCACACACACACACACTGCCACACACACACAAACACGCACAAACACACACAGACACACACACACAAACACACACACACACAAACACACACAAAAACACAGAAGCACACACAAGCACACAGAAACAAACAGAAACACACAGAAGCACATAAACACACATAAACACACATAAACACACATAAGCACACAGAAACACACAAAAACACACACAAACACACACACACAAACACACACACACAAACACACACACACACACAAGCACACACACACACAAGCACACACAAACACACACACACACAAACAAACACACACAAACACTCACACAAACACACACACACACAAACACACACACACACACACACAAACACACAAACACCCACAAACACACACAAAAGCACAGAAGCACACACAAGCACACACAAGCACACACAATCACACATACAAACACGCACACAAACACACACAAACACACACACAAACACACACACACACAAACACACACAAACACACACACACACACACAAACACACAATCACACACAACCACACACACAAACACACACACACACACAAACACACACACACAAACACACAATCACACACAACCACACACACAAACACACACACACAAACACACACACACACACACACACACACACACACACACACACACACACACACACACACACACACACACACACCACGCACGCAACGCACCACGCACGCACGCACGCACGCACGCACACACACACACACATTGTGTACTGTGTTCTCTGTGTCTCAGTGTCTCTGTCTGTTGTCTCTGTCTGTGTCGTGTGTCTGTGTCTGTGTCTGTTCTCCATCTGTGTCTCTGTCCTGTGTCTCTGTCTGTCTGTGTCCTCTGTCTGTGTTCTGTCTCCGTCCCTGTCTCTGTCCTCTGTCTGTTCTGTGTGTGTGTCTGTCTGTGTCTGTCTGTGTCTGTCCTGTTGTCCTGACTGTGACTGTCCTGTCCTGTCTGGTCTGTCTGTGCTGCTGTGTCTCCTCTGTGTCTCTCTGTGTCTCTCTGTGTCTCTCGTGGTCTCTCTGTGTCTCTCTCGTCTCTCTGCGGTCTCTGATGTGTCTCTGTCTGTGTCTCTGTCTGTGTCTCTGTCTGTGTCTCTGTCTGTGTCTCTGTCTGTGTCTCTGTCCTGTGTATCTGTCGTCTGTCTGTGGTCTGTGGTCCTTGTGTCTGTGTCTGTTCAGTATCTTGTGTCCCTGTGTCTTGTGTCTGGTGTCTTGTGCTGTGTGTCTGTTCTGTGTGTGTCTGTCTGTGGTGTCCTGTCTGTGTGTCACTTCCTGTGTGTCTGTCTGTGTGGTCCTGGCTCTGTGTCTGTCCTGTGTCTGTCTGTGTGTCGGTCTCGTGTCTGTTCCCTGTGTGTCTGTCGGTTGTGTCCGTCTGTGTGTCTGTCTGTGTGTCTGTCTTGGCTCTGTCTGTGTCCTCTGTCTGTGTCTCTGTCCTGTGTCTCTTCTGTGTCTCTGTCTGTGTCTCTTGTCGGGTACTCTGTCTGTGTCTCTGTCTGTGTCTGTGTCCTTGTGTCTGGTGTCTTGTGTCTGTTGTCTTGTGTCGTGTCTTGTTCTGTGTGTCTGTCTGTTGGTCCAGTCGAGTGTCTGTCTGTGTGTCCAGTCCTGTCTCCCAGTGCCGTCTGTGTCTCTCTGTCTGTGCTGACTCTGTGTCTGTGTCTGTGTCTGTGTCTCTGTCTGGTCTGTGTCTGTGTCTGTTCTGTGTCTGTGTCCCTGTTGTCTGTGTCCTGTGTCCTGTGTCTGTGTCTGTGGTCTGCGTCTGCGTCTGCGTCTGCGTCTGCGTCTGCGTCTGCGTCTGCGTCTGCGTCTGCGTCTGCGTCTGCGTCTGCGTCTGCGTCTGTGTCTGCGTCTGCGTCTGCGTCTGCGTCTGCGTCTGCGTCTGCGTCTGCGTCTGCGTCTGTGTCTGCGTCTGTGTCTGTGTCTGTGTCTGTGTCTGTGTCTGTGTCTGGTCTGTGTGTGTGTGTGTCGGTGTGTGTTGGTGTGTGTCGGTGTGTGTCGGTCTGTGTCGGTGTGTGTGTGTGTGTTAGCGCGTTTTAGAGGGTCTCAGTGTGTGTGTGTGGCGCGTCGTTGGAGGCGGAAACAGAACTTCTAGTCACCGGCCCCCAAAATCACCCCAACACTGGTGAGCGCTTCGCGAAGCGTTCCGATGGCGTGGCAATTTTGCATTCCCCATCGGCAAAGCGGACAAACGGTTGCAGGGATTGTTCCTCGTTTCTCGGCTCAGAAGGAGGTCTGGTAGGAAGCGTGCAAAGAATCTTCTTGCCGTTGAAGGCCACCAACGTGTGGTTCCATGAACTCGCAGGGTTCTGTTAAGCAGCATCTTTGGCTGCTCCACCACAAGCGCCCTTCTAGGAGCTCTGCCCCTTTTGCTTGAGCTTTCTCGCAGGTAAGGTCCGTGCTCTGCCGCGACGAGCCAAAGTCTCTGCGGTATGACATCATGACAAGCTGGACGGGTGGGCTGATTCGTTTGACAAAAGCAAAGGCGAAGCAATCAAGTTTCGTGCGTGAGTTGTATTGCAGCTGCATTCATGCCTGCGGCTGCGCCAGCTGCCATAAGCCCAGCAGTCCCTTGGCTGAGACGCTCTTCAAATTCAAACCGCTTGCGTGTGCCCGAAGAGTACATCGCAAGCACGTGAGCCTTCCAAGAGCATGGTAAAGCACGTGTGCAAAACACACATGCCAAATGTCCACGTAGTATGTGAGCAGCGCCCAAGACCCTTGACTTGTTGTTCCATTAACATGGCTAGAGCGGCTTAAAACACTTGCTGTCAACCGCCTAAACCTAGTAGAACTGCCAAGACGGGTTGGGGCGTTGCTCAGGTGGGCAGGCGTCTACAGACTTGCGCATACTGCCAGTGGGCATGCTTTCTGGGAGACCTCCAGTTGTGTTTACGCAGAAAGAAACCTCATCAACTGTCACTACAAAACGTGACAAGGATCGGCAAAACACGCAACCTAGCACCAAAAAGCGGCATCACCGATATAGGAACCTTTCATTCTCCGTGTTTTTGTTACCCCTCGCGGAACCCCTGACCCCTGCCAAACCACGTGAATATTGTCGGATCCTCACACCTGGCCTGCCAGACCACCCCAGAACCTCTGAAAACTCCGGAACCTTTCTTGAACCTTACACCTCGGAAAGTCCGGAACCATTGCTTGAGCCTCACAACCTCCAAGAACATGACGAGCCACCCCAACCTTATCTGGGCTGAGACCCCTTAGCTTTCAGCTGTTCGGGAGCACCGCTGCGGGTCGACAAAAAAAACGACAAACACCTCCGGGAACCCTCAAAACCAAAAGCTCAACAAACAGATAGGGACCTCCGGGAGGTTGGGTTTCTGCAAGCACTGTTCTCATTTTGTTCTTATTGTCTCAGAGGCTTTGCAGGATTGCTTTTTTGGAACAGTTTGGGCCGGGCTCACAAGATGCGAGAGTGTCCCACTCAAACTAGTTAAAACTTGAACTTCTACTAGAATATTCCAATCAAAATATTGAACAAGGCATCCCAGGAAAGGACACCACCATAAAATCTAATTTGAAAGAAGAGACCTAATCAAAACCTAGTTGAAACCCTTTGAGCAAGGAAATATGTTGAAGTCTGGATTGATAGGAGGTGGTGTTGAAGCAGACTACCAACCTCCAGAAAGTCCCACTCTCCAAACCAATGAGTGCAGCAATTTACTTGTTGTTCAGGCCCCGCCGGTCGCGCCCTGATTCGACCAACCCTCAACCATTCCGACCGTCCCGACCATTCCGACCGTCCCGACCATCCCGACCGTCCCGACCATCCCGACCGTCCCGACCATCCTGAACCCCCGACAATCCCATGATCCCAGCCGTCCCGACCATCCCGATTTCTGAATTTCGCGCGTGTGTGTGTGTGTGTGTTCTGAAAGTCGCATCACCCCTCAGTTCACAATGATCAGCTGCAGGAACAAGCTCGTATGAACATCTACTTTAATCAAATGTACGAGGGGATGCTTCTGGATACATTGAGCTAACCAGTCAAGCTTCGTCAAGGACCACTCCAAACGGCTTAAACCAGAGAAACCTAAGCACCGACTCTACTCGAGTGGCAAGCATGGGTTCCTGCGCACAGAGTTCTCCCAAGAAGCCTATGCAAGAACCAAGGCTGTAGCAGAAAATTAACGATGACAAACTGAATCAGCAGCATGCTGATTAACTGCGTCAGCCCGGCTAGCATAGCAAACATTGTGAGGAAAATTGTTGGCGCGTTGCACATACAAGCGTACTCACATGATCAACACTTAAAGAGGCAACATAGGTTCATGGTGTGCAAAGGACCATGGTGACATGCAAAGACCGTGCAAATTGTGAGCGCAGCAAGTGGCAATTGTAGCACTAGCTGAGGCAGCAGACGCACTGTGCTAGGGCCTGTTTCAGGCTCAGTCTGGATCTTGTACTCTCCCCACCTGTCAGCTTGTTGTTGCCGCACAAGCTCAGACTATCTCAGGGCCTTCGCAATTGGTTGCCCTGTGCCAGCACGTTGGCTGTATGGCCTTGGCTAAAATGTTTGAATCAGCACAAACTGGAAGTCTCAGAGAGCCATCCACCGAATCTGGAGTCAACGAAATCTTGGATCGCTGCAGGAGGCAAGGATGTAGTTTCTGGGCTGCACCGCCCAGGCGAAACGAACGAAAAGACCACTGTAGAGAATCTGACACGAGGGCTCAAGCGCTTGCCGGTGAAACGCGCGCATGGCGCCAGCCCGGCTGCCAGCTGAAATTTGTCAAGCCTGTGTGGCAGACATGCGCTCGTTGATGATCTCAGGGCCCTTCAAAGCTGCATCGTACCTCCGTGTTGCATTTGGGGTTGAAATGGACTTGCATCGCTGCTTGGATTCGTCTGGGCACATGCCCGAGGCAGCCAGGCCCCAGTTGGCTATTGGCCCCCAGAAGTGTGTGGTCATGGGCCCCGTTGGGGAATTGATGAAGGCAGCCTTGAGTGGGCCAAGCCCAAGTGGGCTCAAGTGGGCCAAGTTGCAAACGTCTGGGCTCCAGACCAGTGCCATGGCGGCTGTGGCAGAGGGGCAGAGGGGCAGAGCGAGAAATTAAGCCTACCCCTGCCCTCGTACGGCCAAGCCAAGCTTCAAGGCCAAGAACATTCTGGAGACACGAAGGCTGCCACTTTTTGCTGATACGCCCGCATCCCACATGAGCTTCATTTCTGTGCCTTTAACTGTTGCATCAAATCCATTGAATGCAAGAAGCTTCGCATCATCGCGAATGTGAGCGCAGGACGACGCGAAGCTCTTGAAAGCCACTCAAGCTTGCATAGCGCAACGCCATGCCATCCGTTGCCTGAGGAAAACACCTTTTGCACTTCCCCAAGTCAGAAAGTGAAGTCACACTTTGGTAAGACAGACTCCACGGTCGATGCGACCCGCTCGGCCTGCAGGTTTGCAGGGCGCCAACAACTTTCTGTGAATAGCTAGTCACACTGGCCGGCTGACCAATGTCTCCCCAAGCTCAATATTAGCTTTTAGGTTCTCAAGTCTTCAAGTGATGCCCTGGACCAAAGGATGCCAGCCACGGCACCCCAACCAGTGGAAAATACCTGGGGCAAATCCAACTCAAACTGAAAGGTCGAACACAGCCTTGGCCGTCACTGGCCATTTGGCTGCAATGCCACAAGCAGCCACGTGGGATTTCTTGCTGGGTACAGGGAAAAAGAATCAAGGTACAAAGGGACCCAGCCCAAGCAAGCCCACTATGACCGTCTTCAAACCATTGAGTGGCAACATCTGCAAGCAGCGCAAATACACAATTCGGTCATGACAAGCGCTGCAAATGAGCTCAAATGAGAATCCTGTGACAAAAACGGCGCAGAGTAGGGTCTACATTGGGACGCGACATTCTCCCCGCCGAAACTCTATCAAGGGCAGGCTAACTGCAAATATCTCAGCCCAAGGTCTCAACCCTCCATCTGGAACTGGCATATAGGATTCGATTACGCCAAACACGCCCACATATGGAGCATGGCACGTGCAAACTGCTGTAACAGTGCAATTGAAGCCGGCGGTCTTCACTCTGCCTGGCTTCCAAAGATCGGAACTGGCTGAGATCTCTATGCGTGGCAGGTGGTTGATTCAGACTCAGCGCCCCCCGCCGGCATCTTGCAGTGCCGCCGAATTCAAAAAAATGTTGCATGGGCATTGCAAGAAGTGCAATGGCAAGCATACAGAAACTATTTACACTTCCCAAGGCAAGCTCAACATCACATTGGGCCCTGCGCTTTGATAAGAATTAGCATCAGTCCGCTTCTGACAACGCACATAGTAAAATGTATCTTGTTGGAATCAGCAAATATTCGAATGTCCTGATGTCCTGATGCATGTAAGCTGCTGTGCCTGTGGCAGCCTCAAGCCTGAAACTCTTCAGATCGAAAGCCAGGATCCGCTAACCTCTGGTCGCCTCAGTTGTTAATGGGGGCAAAGCCAAGGCAACGAATTGGCAGACTCCAGGTGCACGGCCCACAGGACGAGTGTCCAAATGGCAACACCTCAGACTTGCTGACAGACAGGACGCTCTGGAAGTGTTTTCGGCATTCAGCCCATGCCTTCATGGGCATATCCGCCTTCAAGTCGAATTCCCGGCTCCACAGGTCCAGTGGAGTCTCCGACTCCTCCCTCTGATCTCTGGCCGCCATAGCAGCTGCTTGCACATGGAGTAGCATCAGCTGCCCGCAGCACTCCTGAACTCATGCTAACGAATCCTTCAATTCTATCAATCTACAAAATTCACTTCATGGCCATCATGCCAACCATTCCCTCCTCCAGCCCGTCCGAATAGCGGCTTTGTCCTGTGTCAGAGGCACTGCCACAGCCGAATGACTTGAAAGTCGTGCCTTCATCTGATTTGGTGGTGTCCGAGGCAACGTCACTGTCGTTCATCCTCTCCTTCCGGCGAAGAATCTTGCTCGCATCAAACTATGCGGTGCCGTCCTTGCCATCAAATCGCTTGGACCCTGCCATGCCGCTTCCGTTTCGCAGTTGAACGTTGCAAACGTGGCAAACATTGCAAAGATGTTGAATTGGACTTGCGTCTGTCCCGGCCTCTCTCGACGCCGCGAAGCTCGTGCTCGCCGTGCGCGAAGGTGCAGTTGGCAAAATTGCAAGAGCCCTCACGTCAGGTATTTCGAGTTGAAACAGGCAGTGTCTGTGTCCTTGGCCCACTTGCGGCACAACCTGAGTGCAAAGGCTCAAAAGGCATGCCATGCGAGCATGAAAAGCAAATGCCTTGCCAGTTGACAGTGATTTTGGTTTCTAGAAGACGTGCATCCTCTTGAGCTTTTGCGGATGCAAATCACAGATTGGAACATATGTGAGACGAGCTACATTGTCTTGAAGAGGTTCGGCTTGGGAACAAGCTCATCAGTCCCATGCGCAAAGCCTTGGCTCAAGGCTGTGCCTCTCCCGCCCCTCAGGCCCCTCAGGCCCCCCGAAGCCCCGAGGCAACACCCGAGATCAGAGCTACAGAAGGCACCACGCTTACACTTGCCGACGCCTCACGGAGTGTGCAAGTGCGGAGTCGAGTGCTTGGGAAAGTTGGGGCCCACGACTGTGGAATTTGCACATCTCTGTCTTTGCCATCTTCTCCTGGACAGCAGAGGCCTGGCACATGCAATCCCCATGTAGCCCACTCACTACAAATATAAAATATATTATATATGCATATACCTGCCCTCCCAAGAACTGACAAAACCACCACCTGGTTGACCTTGGTGGGCGCCATGCTGGGCAAGCTGAGCCAAAACTCTGCACAGAAGCATCGCTGGTGAAACTCAGCTGAACTCACCCGTTTGACACTCACGAGCTGGCAAAGCGTGCTTTCGTTCATTGGCCAAATGATAAATGCTTCACGCAAGCGCGCATCCAAACAAGCATGCTCGAGTTCTCCCGAGGCTTTACAAACTACCTGGTGCTTGCTACATAGGCGCCTGGACCGGAGCGGTCAACAGGGCCAACACCTAAACCGCTTGGTCGCTTTACAATGCAAGCTTTACACACGCAAGGGGAAAAGCCAAATAAGGGAGCGATAAGGGAGCCATAGAATAGCCGTCAGCCCAGCTGAAGCGTGGAAGCTCGGGCGAGGGTAGGGATTCCTGTTGATGTGCGATGCACCTGATGCAAGGCTCTGCCCCAAGGCGACAATGTAACTGAGTATCACCGAGTATCACCGAGGACACAGTCGCAGGCAAGGCGCGATGTTGGCCAACTGATGGGCAGGAGGCTCGCCAAGCTCAACCTGGCCGACAGCAGGCAGACGTGGCTCAAGGCTCTTTTCTCTTTGCTTTGTGCGTCTCCTTCACGTATGGACAGTTCCACATGTCGAGCCCACGCCTCCTCAGAATGCCTCGCCAGCTCGACGGCCTGGCGCTATGGGGGGGGGGAACCGGCTCGTGGAACGAAGTGAACGAAGTGAACACTTCGTGAACGAATGGAAAGGCAAAAAGACGAAAAGACGACAAGAGAAAAGCCAAGTGGACGAAGTGGAAGGCAACAGACTCGATCGAAGCCGGGGGCGCCGGGTGCCGATCCATGAGCTCGTAGGCGACCTCGTAGAGCAGGTAGCCCAGGCCGAAGTGGATGCCTGGCCAAAAAGGTGCAAACGCTGCGGGGAAACACAAAGACGGAGACGGAGATGTATATGATTGCTTTCAGATGTTCAGGTGTTTGTCGTCACTTGAATAGAAGACTGCTAGACTAGCTAAAGTCTTCGATCAACGAAAAGCCCATGAACTCGCTGATGTCGAGGTCTCTTTTGAAGCCGAAGGCTTTTGGGGAGACCATTGGGCAAAATCTGCCGTCCAGTGTTTTTTGATGCTTGAAACGTCTAGGTCAGGCAGTACCAATGGTGTTTTGCGGGGGCAAGTGTGGCGACGATCAAGGAACTGCTCGAATTGGGAGAAACATGTTTTTCTGCGAAATCTCCCACCTCAGGCTGTCGCTGCGAAACATCCCCAGCATGATTGTGCTTTTAGAAGCCTAGATCCCGGGTATTTGAAGGGGGTTGCTGTTGTCCGAGAAACGCTGGTTTTTGCACACTGCATCCCCGGCATTGCCTACACTATCAGCATTCTCCTTGCCGTCGCCATCTTGGACCAATGTTTTGCGTCCGAAGTCCCTTGTCCGCAAGGGTGAGGTGCACGGGAAGGGCCATCATCTCTTATGAGGCAGCATTAGTAACGCAGAGGACGCTACGATGATAGTTATCATCACAGTCATCATCCTTATCACCATAGTCATCATCCTTATCATCATCCTCATGGTCATCATCATCATCATTTGTACATGCATACATGCATACATGAGTGCATACATGCATACATTACATACATACATACATACATACATACATACATACATACATACATACATACATACATACATTGCATACATACATTGCATACATACATACATACATACATACATACATACATACATACATACATACATACATGCATACATTTCAATACAGACATTACATACATGCATACATTCCACTACACTACATTACATTACGTTGCATTGCATTACATTAATTACATACATACATACACCAGCATGAAAATTTCGAGCTGCCCCCCACGTCACAAAACATGCACATAAACATATACATGTACATATGCATATACATACAGACGTAGAACACAAGAAGGCAAGCACCAGGCAAGCAATCAAAAAAGCGGGCGCGCGGACAGGCACATAGGCAGGAGAGAAAAAAAAGGCAAGCAGTCACACAGGAAGGCAAGCTAACAAACGGGCAGGCAGGCACGCAGGCAGGCAGGCAGGCAGGCAGGCAGCTAGGACCTAGGAAGACAAAAGGCCAGCCGGCAACGGCCCAAAATAGGGGCGGGGTCGTGCCCGGGCAGGAGGGGTCGTGCCCAGAAGCACCGACAAAAATCAGCAAAACGGGCCACAAAAAGCGGCATCACAGACACAGGAATCCCGCGTCTCCGCATCATCCAAACCGGCGCAAACGCGCAAAACCCAGAAACGAAAACAGCCCGGAGTAAGGCCGGGGCGGTACCTGGGAGCACCGTTCGGGTTGGACAAAAACACAGAAAAACACCTCCGGGAGCTCTCAAAACAAAAAAGCCAAAAACACATGACTGCAGGAATTCTCTTTACCTGAAGTACAACGGCGTGCTTTGCCCGGCGGCTGCGCGCGCTTCCGCTTGAAGCGGCTCCAGGGGTCATATCCCAATAGGCCCGCAGGCCGGCAGACAGACGCATAAGCAAGAAAGCACGTGGACAAGCCATCGCCAACATACAGGACAGCGACCCCGCAGGAGCGGCGGCACCGGGCGGCCTTTGGGGCGCATACCTAGGCTTTGCCTTCCGAGAGACGGTCGCTGCCGCCGACCCCTCGCATCGTCTGCATTCCCAGCCTTTGGTGCATCATCACCACCCGCACAGCCACTGGAGCTCGAGTTGAGGGAAGGCTCGAAACACTGCAAATATGCAGCAGCCCGGCTGCGTCGCCAACGCTTTCGGAAGCCCGCGTGTTTCGCGCATCGCCTGCATGCCCGGCATCGCCCGCAATTGGGGCCATTCTTCCCAAAGCCATTCCTGATGGCGCGCGCGCGCGGGCGGGCGGGCGGGCGGGCGGGCGGGCGGCCGGGCGCAGGCACAGATGCAGATGAGTCAGATACGGGGCCAAGTCTGAGTGTTTGTCTAAAGGCACCTGACTACGGGCACCCTTGCAAGGCAGTTTCACCAGCACACCTTCCATACAACAGTACAATGACAAACGCTCCTCTTCCACGCTTGCCCATTCAGAGTATCCACGCTGGCCAACTGAAAAGTACACGTCCTGAATTACATGCGCCCGTACCACAGAGTATCCGCGTTTGCCAGCTGGTAAGAACACTCACGCCCGCCAGCCAATGAGCACTTGCTTGGCGCAAATTGTATCTGATTGGCTCTGTATCTTATCTAATTGCATCTCTCATCTGTATCTGGCTGCCGGCAACTGTTGCCTTGCAGGCAGATTTTCGACAAATCCGCAAAACCCGTTGGGTAAAGAAACGTGCCAGAAAAGCTTGGTCTGCGCAAAGCCTTCTTCCCTTCTTCCTTCCTTTCAAACAATAAAATTATGGTGGGCAATCCCAGCCAAACACTATAAAACTGGTTTTAATTAAAAATGCAGAAAAAATACACCCGGCGATGCAAATGAGAAATACAACTCCGAATGCAGCAACAGGCTGCCCAAAGAAAAGCCTGTGGGCTGCCAATGAAAGCAACATCAGCCCATGCAGAGCCAACTCACCCTTGAACACGCACATGTTCTGCCTACAGGCTGCTACACAAACCCAGTTTGATAATCTGCCATGGCTTGGGCCGGGGGGGGGGGGGAGGGAAAATGGTAAAAGTAGGGGGCCTGGGGGGTGGCCTGTTGATGGTTGCCTGTTATGGTTTTTTATGTTCATCTCAAATCTGTGCTCCCCCTTATTCGTTTTTAAAAGAGGGTTTTAGGGAGCTTATTTATCGTTTTCGTTAAGGTAATCATTTGGGTAAATTGTCGCCTTGTTCATTGTTGGGCTGGGGGCCGACATTTTTTCATTTGAAAGAGTTGGCCCTTTTAGTAGTTATCAAGTTCTGGGGTGTTGGTGGTGTATTTGTTTTGTCATTGTTTTTGTTTGTTTGGGATTCGCTATGGGAGGGTGGCAATGCAGTTGATGTCAAGAAAACAGTGATGTCATATGCCTTGATGTGGTTTGAGAGCAAAAGGTATGACAACACACAAGTGAAGCGCTTTTGTCTGCTGAAGCCTTTTCGGTGATTAGCATTGACGTTTTGACCTAGTTGTGTCACACAATGGCACCCAAGAAGAACGAGAAGGGTGGCAAGAAGGCTGAGGAGAAGAAGCCAGAGACAGGTGACACCACTGACGAGGAGGTGTTTGACAGTTCGGCTGGCTCGTCTACGGACACCTTCTACCGTGGAGTGGACTTGGATGGTCTCATTGCAAAGCTCGACGAACTGAACTTAGAGGACAAGGAGGCCATGGAGAAGACCTGCACGAGCGAGGTCAAGACATTGTGTTTGAAACTTCAAGCCATCCAGAAGAGCATGAAGGAGGAGAAGGCGTCACGTGCCAAGGCGGTTCGTGCTGAGCGTCAGAAGCAAATCCGCGAGGACAAGCCGAGAGACGGAGGTGACGGTGAGGGTGACGATCGGGGACACCGTCTATAACATCACCGTGCCTTTGTCCATCACGGTGGGACAGTTTCGCCGTGAGATTGCCAGAGCCGTCAAGAAGTCCGCAAGTTGGGCAAAGAAGCTTCAGGTGCTCTACCAGGGACAAGACATCTCGTCCCAGCCACGCAAAACATTGATGAAGCTTGGTGGTGTGGTCAACGGTTCGTCTTTCCAGGCGTCGCTCTCGGACCAGTCAGATGTGCGCTTCACAGACAACAACATGCGGGTTGTCATTGAGCAGTCGGTCATCGTCGGTGACAATGATGATAACGATGAAGAGGAGGACGATGACAACCAGGATGACGAAGACGACGACGACGACGAGTGAAGCCCGTCTACACACTTGAATTCCTGCCTGTGTTGAGCGCTGTATGCTTCATTATGTTGAAGTTCTCCAAACTTGTTGTCAGGCTGTCTTGTAAGACACACTCATAGGCAGATGGTGCGATGATGTCATTGTGACTGTTCCGCACTACATGACAAAGCACTGTTTCTCATTGTTCACTCACCTACATGTTAATTTCAAAACCCTACAGCCTTTTGAGCGTTCATTGAGACAGTGCCTTGAGACCATGTCAGACCTTACCTTCGCGTGAGAAGTGGTTCAAAATCAGGTTTCACTTGTGCGGTTGCTTCATCATTGACATGTTCTGTGACTATGCGTGCTTCATTGCTTGGATTGTGTCACCGCAGGATTTGAGTTCCTTCTGGGATGATTTAGTATGTTCCCCGATGGAGACCAAAGAGCCTCGTGAACACTGGACACAAAGAGTGAAGCGTCTTCTGAAAGAAGCGGAGGATGAGAACGCTGAACTCAAAGACCAAGTGAACACTCTCACTTTCCAGCTCCAGAACCTGAGTGTCGGAGAACATCAGCCCCAATCCAGTCCTTCAGTCCAACCGCATGAGAACGCTCAAAGAGGACAGGGTGGTCAAAGGCACGGTGGCGATGGTGGAGGTGACAGTAGCGGTGAAAGTGACGATGACGACTACAACGAGGACAGCAGTGAGGACGAGCACAACGACAAGAACTTGGAGAACGATGGCTTCTACATCACTATCGTAAACGAAGTGATGACGAACCCAAAAAAGAATGGAAGCAAGGCTTTCATGGTCAAACCTCAGTGGAAGGCGAAGACGCTTCAGAGTTTGGTCTACGGACGTTGGAGTTTGCCTCCTCACGTTCACTTCCTGAAGAAGTCCAACGGCGAGGTCGTCTACCCACATTTGACGATTTTGGAGAATGCACTCATCCACAACAACACCGTCTACGTTGGACTCGGTCTTCGTGGTGGTGGTAAACGTGCCGTACCAAAGGCGGAGAGTTCCAACATTGAGGAGGACATGCTGGACTTCCTAGGTGCTAAGCCAACAGTGGAACCGAACGATATTGAGCCTGTGAAGAAGGCTCTCGGGCTTCCTGCGGTGAACGTGGAAGGGTGGATTCAGTCGTTGAGCCTTGATGACACCATGTCACTACTTGCAGACCTGGACGAGCAGAAAAAGACAGGGATGTTGAAAACCCTGACCGAGCCCTACTGCAAGTATGTCAACGAATACAAGGCTTTGCTGGTCATGTCCTAAGT